TCGCCCTTGTTCAAAGTGGCTGGCCCTTGGAGCGATATGTTCAGGCCCCGGAAAATGGAGCCCTCGTCGTTTTCATGCTGACTTCCAGAGCTCGGGAAATGCGGCCGGAGCTATTTCCAAGGCGACAACGGTGGCCCAACGGTGGCCCAGTGAGAATGCTTCGAAGATTGATGCTTCACTGTGGTTGGCATGTGTTTAGGTCGTTTGGCGTTTTGGCTCGGCTCATTTTTAATAGGCGGCAAAAAGGACGACATGTTTGCTACAAGAGTCATTTGTTCTATCTCTTAGCTTGGAAATGATCGACCCGGGTTGTTCAGTCTCGGGGCCCGATGACGTTCGGTCTCTTCTCTTTGGCCCGATGCGCCGACCCTCGGGCCCCGGCGTTCGGTCTCGGGGCCCGACTCTCGGGGCCCGCCTCTTTGGCCCCAACTTTTGGTTTGGTTACAGTTGGAGCCCATCTCCAAGAACACACAAGCTGTAGTCTTAAAAGTGCATGTCGCACCGCCCTAGCAAAGCCAGCCCAGCGTCAGCAGCCCAGTTTTTCGAATGCGGGCTGCAACCCGCCCCGACCAATGCCAAGCAGCTCAAATTTTCGAACCGCTGCCAGCATACGCCACGTCGCAAAGGCACATGGCATCCAGGCTTCAGAGTTCATGCGTTGCGTCCCAGCAAGTGCTCCGCCGCAAGAACGCAGGACGCAGCATCCAAGCAAGCCAGCGCCCTAGCAGCCCAGTTTTGCGAATCTGGGCTAGTTGTGCTTTCGGATCACTGCAACCTCTTCCCCCCCCCCCCCACCTTTCCGGGGCCCCACTTCGGGCCTCCACGTTCAGCCCGACTGGTTACAATTGGAGCCCATCCCGACTGTCAAGCTGTAGTCGCAAAACCGCATGTCGCACCGCGTAGGAAAGCCAACCCAGCATCAGCGGCCCAGCCAGCTTCCAGCCCACCAGCCTTCTACCTTCCCAGCTGTCCGCCCCAGACTCCACACCGAAACTGCAGCCTCCAGACTGCAGCCTCTAGACTGCAGGCTCCAGGCTGCAGCCTCCTCCTGCCCCCAGCCTCCAGACTCCAAGCCTGCAGACTCCACGCCCAAACTGCGGCCTCCACACTCCAGACTCCACACTCCAGGCTCCAGGCTCCAGCCTCCAGACTCCAGCCTCCAGACTGCAGCCTCCAGGCTCCAGACTCCACACCCAAACTGCAGCCTCCACACTCCAGTCTGGAGGCTGCAGTCTGGAGGCTGGAGCCTGGAGCCAGTCTGAGTCTGGAGTCTGCAAGGTCTGAGGCTGCAGTCTGAGGCTGCAGTCTGGAGACTGGAGTCTGAAGGCTGGAGGGATTGACCTGGCGGAGCGCTTGTGGCCGTGGCAGCGGTTACCCGGGGCAATTGAATTGTGTGCCCCGGGTTAACCGCTTCCGTCGGAGAAGCGCTTAAGGGGACAGAACAGCAACATTGCGTGGGAGGCACCGCAAACTCTTACCAGGGCCAAGCGGTCACCCGCAAACTCCTGGAACCCAACTGGGGGCACGCGAAATGTGTGCCCCTGGCTAACCGCTAGGCCCACGCCCGCCGCTCACCCGGGAGCAAAAGGCTGGAAAGCTGACAAGAGCTTAAGCTGGGAAGTTAGGAAGCTGCAAAGCTGGAAGCTGAGAGGCTGGCTTGGAGGCTGGAGTCTGGAGGCTGGAGCCTGGAGTGTGGAGGCTGTTTGGAGGCTGCAGCCTGAAGCCTGCAATCTGCTGGAGGCAGTCTGGAGGCTTCAGTCACCTGAAGGCTGGAGCCTGGAGTGTGGAGTCTGGAGCGTGGAGGCCGCAGTTTGGGTGTGGAGTCTGGAGTTTGGAGGCTGTTTGGAGGGCAGCCTGGGCCTGCAGTCTGCTCTGGAGCCCTTGGAGGCTGGAGTCTGGAGGCTGGAGCCTGCATCTTGGAGCGTGGAGGCCGCAGGGCCCCTAGTTTTCCCTGTTGGTTTAACATCACCTTGTTGCCAACTTAAGTCGGCTTTCCCTGCGTGATGTTGAAAGCGGACACTTGGGGAGCAGTGTGCCCCAAGGGTTTTTCATGTACTTGCAAAAAGCTCAGTTGTCCAAACCGATTCGGCCTTTTGACCTTTTGGTTTCCCCTTTGTAGGTTCCCATCCTTTTTGTGAACCCAACAGGTGATCACCTGAAATATGTCTGGGTCCAAACTGGGCTTTCTTGGGTGGCATTGTTTTTACGCATTCTGTCCTGAGATCCTTCAAAGCCGCCACGTCTCGGTCGGAGAACAAATCCGAGGCTCATCTCCTACAAGGCGGGGCCCACCGGACCCAAAGCTGCGCAAGCGCCAGTGGCAGAAGCAGCCCTGGCTCTTATGGATTGCGATGGTGGGTGGTTACGAAATCCATTTCGCACCACCTAAGAAACCCTTCATGCAAATGCCAACCTAACCATGGTCTCAACCATGGTTGCAACCATGGTCTCAACTATGGTTTCCAAAGTGGGGCAAGATTGCGTCCATGCACAGTAGGTTTCTAGAGTGCGAACCCATTTTGGTAAAGGTCATTTAAGAGGTACACCGAACATATCCTGATCCACGGAAGTGATTGCGAGCTGAAGTAGTTGTTTTTCCCGAGTGCCTTTTCAAGTATTGCCCTGATTTATAGAGTTGCTCCCTCTTCCTCCGCGTGCCAGTTCGCCCTCGCAACTTTCAAACTTCAAGCGAGTTTGCTTTGGACCCTGTCCCAGCCCACCAGATGATGAAAGTTTGGCTCGGCCGCCACACAAACAATCTTCCAAAGTGCGGTCCAGAGTTCATCCGACCCTGCCACAAAGGGGTGGGATCAATTCAGGGATCCGGATCCCTTTGGAGAGACTCACACGGGATGCTGACCATGATGAAGCTTCCTTTCATAGGATGCCCTGTGTTTCTTGGGATTGCTCCATGTTCGGATTTGTTTTATCCAGTTGGCGTCCTCGATCACAAGGGTGCCCTACTAAGAGAAACCAAAGCGAAATCATCTATTTCAGTTGGGCAGGGTCCATTTGAACATGGCCATGCTGTTTTTTCCCCCCGCGCAAGGAGGCGGATTGCGCCGCCGCGTTCAGAGAAGCCTTGACAGACCGATACCTGCTTTTTGTGAACAGCAGCAGCTGGGGACTGAGCATACTGCGTGACGAAAGCTGCGAATGCTACCCTCCAGTGCTCTTCTAGGCCCCCCCAGTAGTGCCCATTTACCCTTTTTTGGGGGAGGGTTCCCCTACTAATGTAGACTACAGAAAAAAAGGGTCCCCCTATTCTAACCTCTCTACTGGACTTAGCCTTGTCTCCTTCTCTCCGTGCAGAAAGCTTCCAACCAATTAATCAAGTAGCATCGACTAGGCAAAACGGGTGGCCTTCAGCTTGTGGCTGGTTTGGCAGGCTTGAGGCTTGCCTCCCCCCGATGACTTAACTCTTTTTTGCAGATGAAGCCAGAAAGCCTCATGCCAGAGGCTCCTTGTTGCGACACCCTCTCTTTGGGTTCCACTTGGATCTGGAGCTACCATGTCAAAGGGTAATTTAAGTCATGTTTGCTTTAAATTGGAACCCTGTCAAATACACCCCACCCCCGTCAGTGGGGGCTCCGACCACTTTTAGAAAAACACACCCCCCATTGATAGGGCGGGATTATTAATCCGGGGTCAACATCACCCTTGAGCAGAATACAAGGGAGAAAAAAAGAAACATCATTCCGAGTATCCCGTCATTTGCTGCCTGGAACATCCTCAAGTAAAGTCGGGCAGCCCAAAGAGATAGCGAGGAGAGAAGCTCCATTAAACCCCTTCAACCGGAACCTGTCCTACTGCAAATGCACAAAAGCCACTTCACACCACCTAAGAATCCCTCAATGATGATACCCCATGTACATACTAGCAAGCCATGGATTCAACCATGGTGTCTTAGGTGGTGCGAAATGAATTTCGTCCACCCTGAGTCCCGGACGACTGCTACCCTGTGAACTGCGTGCCTGGCGATGGTCAGGAGCTGAGTTGCCGAGTGAATGGGATGTTGTGGACCTCACCTCAAGGACAGCAACAGGGGATTGGAGCTGTTTGTTCTTTCCTCCGGCCTTGCGAAGATCATTCAGCCCTAGAGACCTTCCCAAACACACACCCACGGTATGCTTAAAGCGAAGGACCAGAACAGGCCAAAGGGTCGACTTCAATGAGGTGTTCACTTGAGCCTGAGAACGCACCAGGGCTTGTACCCCTCACCCCTAAATTCTGTGAAACACCCCCCGCTTTTGGACGAAAAGTGTCAACTATGGCTGGTCTTTGGTGCGGCCGACCCGCCCCTTCGACACCTCGCGTTTCCATCAAAGCTACAGATCGGAGCTTTTGCCCAGGGAAGAGCAGCCCAGTGACAGGGAGCCATGAGGGGCACGCTGAACCATCCCCGCCGGGGAGACCTGCCCTGAGGCTACTCCCTGCGCGAACACTTTTGCTCAGGCGCCGGACGTGGACAGCTCGCCTTTACCAGACTGACTTGCTCAAAGCGGGCCTTTTAACCTTTCGGTTTCTCTGATTTGGTCCATGTTTGGTCATGGTTGCAGGAGGTGATTCACTGTTATTGTCAGGTCCCTATGGGGCAAAGTAAAGGTGGAACTCTTGGAACGATTGGTGGTTTTGGATGGCTTCCCCTCCACCTCAGGCGGTACCGATCTGAGCGTACCAACCTCTCTGGGCGTTCGGCGGTTGGAACTCGTGCCATGGAAACATCGGCTTCAGTTCCGCTTTTCCACCCAAACTTCTACCTTGCCCCAGGTCAGTTTGGGAGATGGAAGGGACCATTTCCTTCCAGGATGTGTGATGAGGGTAGGTTCAAGTGGCCTAGCGCATTGGGTTACAAACATTATAGGATTCCAATGCCCCTAGCCAGGTGCTGGCAAGAGCAAGGACAGGAGCAAAACAGAGGCCGGACCAGCAGAAGGGACGGGCAAGAGCCGGCTTGCTCTTGGTGCCTCGGTTAGTAAGAAAGATTGCCAGACCAAGCCATGGCTGAGGCTGATTTTGACAGTAGCGGGAAAGACTGCAAGATCCTAGTTGCATGTTTTAATGTTGTCATCCACCTTGCGGGCACGAGAAATGCCATTCTTCGTTGACCTTGCGATAGTTTTCTTCGGAGCCATGGGAATGCATGACTGGCGATGGTCTGTGAGCAAGGGCCATATGTCAACTTCCGGCTCTTTTGCAAGTGACGTTAGGTTTGAGGATTCATGCAATGCTTAGGTGACGGCTTTTGAGGTGGTTGCCTATTTCAATTCAAGGGCAAGTCTCAAAGCCTATTTGGGCGGCTGAAATTAAGTCCTTCTGCGCAGCCAGGCGTCTATAGTGAACTACCCCCGTGCTTGAGGGAAGCAACTGGTCCCTCTAGAGGTTGGCCGTTTTGCTTGGCTGGGATCTCCTCCAAAAATATGTGTATAGGGCAGACAACATGTGATCCAGAATCTGAAGATCTTACGGTGGTGCACCCCAGAGGGACTGGTTTGGATCGCCCTTCTGCAGGCTGCCAGCCCATGTCAGGCAGCTGCTTCCAAGGCAGACAAGCCTGAGAAGGAGAAGACGGAGAAGACGGAGAAGACGGAGACCGCCGCGGCTGCCTCAGTAGATAGGCTTTATCTCGTGGCGTTATAGTGGTTGTATACTAATACGCCTTGAATACTAATTTGGGAGTGGAAGCCATCCATTTTAGGGCATTGCAGTTGTCTACTGCACCTGTAAAACAAACCTTGCGTACTAACCTGGAACGACTTGTTTGGCTTTCCCTTGGTGGGGTGTTATTTGCAGGTCCGTAGTGGCGTATCACATTCACAGTCCCACTTGCAACTCGCGCGGAAAACAAAAGGGGCCTCACCCAGAGCCCACAATGATCCCCTTACACGATACCCTGCAGTGACTCGCTAAAAACGACATGACTGTAGTGCTTACATGTTTTTCCACCAATACCCATATTTTGCCTTGGTGGTAGTGCTTGGGGTGAAACCCTTTGAGACTGCACAATTTGTTCTGAACCTCAAAGGATCCATTGCGGACACCTCACTTGGTGAGTTCCTGGACTTTCAACTTGTTTGGTGGACCATTTTAGCGGAAAACAAGTATGGACTCAGGAAGTGAGACGCGAGCAACTACACATGTTTCGTGGTTTTTGCTCGGGCTTTCGTGACCTTCAGGACTGCAGTGCGTCTGAAATGGAGTAGCCCGTGAGGTTGGTGGCTTGGTTTGGTGGTTTGGGCGTTCGAACTCCTGGTCCTTGCAGAGACTTACAATGAACAAAACGAATCTCCAAACCGCCAATCCAAACCACCAGTTAGACGGAAGCTGAAAGAAGCACCTACCCCAAGTAACTGGGGGGCTCGGGCGCTAGCCAGTTGCAAGCACTCCTTAGAACCATTTGTCAGAGCATAGTTCCGATCCCAAGGCGACCCTGGAAAACTCATGCAGGAGTAGAGCAACCGCTCTTGGCGTTTTCCACGTCAATGTGGACTCCATGTTTGATTGAACAAAACACGGCAAAAAGGGCAATTACCCTTCCCAAAAAGAAACCCCCAATACGAGCCTCTGCTACAATGATCCAAGAAAAACAGCCTCCAACACCCCGATTAGCGAGTCAGCGGCAAACAAACATGTTTGACTTGCTTTCGGAAGTGGGCCACGGCCATCCGAGTAAAGCCATTGTATGTTCCAGCGGGCCACTGCTCGGTTTTTCAGTTGTCGTACCCGTGCATGTAATCCAGACCTCCGCGATCCTTTTGTGGATGGAGGTTATCAGCAAGTCAACCAAAAAGAAGTCGTGTTTCCCACCTGAACTCTGGAGGAATCATGCATGAAGTCACCCTCCGGGCTGCAAGCAGAACGCTTGGGGCTCCGCAAAACTGCCCCGAAGAGCCTGGCGCTAGGATCCTCCTTTTTCGTCTTAGGGTTCCGAGCTTCAAAACCATGGGCTGGAAATTGGCCTCATGGGCTTCCTTCGGCTTCCCCAAAAAGAGGAACAGCTTTGGTTCCTTTTGGTTCCCGGTTTGGGCAAAACCCTTATGCCAGGAAGCAGTGAATTTTCTTCTGGTTTGTTAATGGTTTTCCCGCTACCCCTGGGATTTGGGATGCGATATGTCGGTCATCCGGCCAGTCCTAAGACGTGGGCGTTTTGGTTTCGCAGGACCCGAGTGGGTTCGAATCGCAGGCGTTTGTCCTGCGGCGCTGCGGGTCAACGCCAGTGCCGCTGCACCCGGCGGGGAGCGTTGAGTTTGACTTCAAACCGTTTTTTTGTTCCCCATGGTTTTTTTTGTTTCTCGGATTTGAACCATTTTGGCGGTAACCTAGATCGAGCTATCAGCTGGGCGGGCGGGGAGAGCACGAAGACTTGGCCAGACTTGGCCCCTGCCAAAAGCAAACTTTTTGCCGGTTGAGAAAAGACAGGAAGGAACTCCAAAAAGGCAAGGCACAAGGTAAGCCCGACTGAATCAGTATATGACTTTGAGGTTGCCCATGTAGGCCGGGTTCGGATAGGGTGTTTACCACCAGTTGTTGCGTTTTTTTGCTGCGGGTTTCACATTAACCAACGGCCAAAATACAGCTGTGTGTCCGGTTGTCCCATGGCCACTGAAAATCGGGGGATGTGGGAAGGGGCCCAAGGCCCCAGTTTGAACCTGTCAAAGCCATAAATCAATCCTGAGAAGTCAGGTAGCGGTTGATTGGATTGAATTGGTGGGGATTTTCAACTTTGGTTCTTGAGGGCTGCTAACCTCCAAACACCCATGCTCCAAACCACCACTTACATGGAAGCTGACAGTCAACGGTTCCTTTTGGTTTCCCTCCGACCAATTTTCTGGAACCCGAGAGAATGCGATATTCTCCCGAGTGACATGCTTGGGGTTCCTGGCGTCCTTACGTGCACGGGCAAAGCCGACTTTGGCTGCATTTTTGTATAGATGTCTCAAATCGGACCGCCAAAAGGTTGGGTTTCCGTAGGTCTCCTTGTAAAACAAGGGTACCCTCAAAACAGACAGCCCCATTCTTAGCCACGCTTCCCAAAATGTAAGCCGTTGTTTCCTGGGTGCCTAGTAGCTAGACAGGACTCCTTGTGCCGTTGTTTTTTTTGAATGACCAACACCCATGGGTAGGGATGTGTTGTTGAATATGCTGAGGTTGTGAAAGGTGGAAGGTTGGAAAGCCGGCCTCGTTTTTGTGTGAAGCCTTGTGCTGATCGCTTCTTTGTGCCTTTGCAGAGCAACTGCTCTTTGGTTTGCCGCTTTGGTTAAGAAGACTGCGATGCTTCCGTGGCATTTTGAGAAGGGGCTCGAAGGAGGAAAGGACTCCCACCAACAAGTGAGTTGAGCAAACCATGCATTCAGGGTTGCTTTTGGAAAGGCCTTGTTTTGTCAGGTAAGCCTTAGAGGGCAAATGGGACCCCCCCCCAACCTCCAAACAACTTTCCAGCTCGGCAACCCTTCCCCCCTCCAACCTCCAGCCTCCAACCTCCAACCTCAAACCTCCAATCTCCACCCTCCAATTTAAACCAAGAGGCAAGCGGAAAATCTCCGCACCCGGCACCTCCCACTTCCTCTCGCCCTCCGCCCTCCGCGGCACTTCTGCCGCCCGAGGCCGGGGGTGCTGCGCCCGGCGCCGGAGACCTTCAGCGTGCGCCACGGCCAGCGACTCGCCTTCGGCCCCGGCCTCGGGAAGCGAAGCCATGGTCAAAAACTCCGTTTGGGTGGAGCCCGGGGATTGGTGGGGATGGGCGAAGTTGAATTCACCACCCATTTTGGAGCCGATTTTATTTAGTGGGGATTGGTTGATGTTCACTGGGGGTACGATTTGGACTTTGATGGCCGGATGGTGTGTGCATGCTCTTGTTTTGGAGGGTGATCCCTGTTAGTGGACTTGGAAGGGAAGCCGAAAGAGGAACACCACATTTGTTGTTGGCCCCTATTTCTATGAGGGTAAGTATGAGGGTCTGTGTGTTTGCAGTTTTGAGGGTGCCCCTTTGTTGGTGGCTCCGAAGAAAGAAGGGGCGCGGGTGCCCCCAAAAAGCCCCAGAGACCTCGGAAAATTGCCTTTCCGTTGAACCTCTGGGGAAGAGCAACCCACATGTCCCCTTTGGCTGAACACCAGCTTTGGGCAAGGCCGAGAATTGAACTAGGAGCCCTCCTTGGGAATTCTTACAAAACAAGGTCACCGGTGAAGGTCCCTTTAGGATTCCTTCACTCAGGTTGGTAACGTCGCCCAGTGGACTGCTCTCTCTGTTCAACTTGAGGTTGTTGTTTTATTTCACCATCAACTACCCCATTTTTTGGCGGAAAGAGTCGCCCTTTGCCCGTCACTCAGGCTCCCTATGCTCCATGGTCAAGATTCTTTCGGGGTCCCGGACCCGTTGACGGCTATGGACTCCTGAGTTGGGAATTAAAATAAGTGTAAGGGTTCCTACAAGGCCATGCAACCCGTGGTCTCCTCCAAACCCAAAAAATATGTTAGGCTTGGCTAAGCGTGAAGCAGGATCTGGGAATAGTAGTTTGTACCCCAGGCGTGAGCCAAGACAGACATAACCCACACAACTTTTGAAAGCACACATTCATATATACTGTGGATGGACAAAATCCATTTCGCAGCACATTGAACCCAAGGTTGAAACCATGATTTGTTGGTTTGCACAGGGGAATCAAGTCATTCCGAGATTTCTTAGGCGGTGCGAAATGGATTTCGCAACCATTCACAGTATGTACCTTTGGGCATTTGAGAATCACTCCTTTGCGTGTTTTTGTGCCTTTTTCAGATTGGCTTTCTGGTCGCCCCACAGCCGCAGGTCTCAGGGGACTGTTGCGCGGTGCGCCTTTTTGGTTCAAAAAGACGAACCGTTTTTCCAGGTCCAAACGCACAGTGACACCCCCCAAAGACGCATGTCAGGGCCAAGAAATTTGCAAAGGCCACCCGGGAACCATCATTCCAGGGTCATTCTGAGTCATTATTTGCCCATTCTAGGGGTTGTTTCCCCATTCTTTTTCACCATCCTTCTTTTCGAAAACTAGCGGTTTTTGCAGGTTTCTGGAGGTTTTCTAGAAAGATTCGGATCCCTGGAAAGAATGGGGGAGGTACCCCTGGACCCATGGACGGCTTAAACCGTCCCACCGAATCGCTCTGAAGGACGCGAGGACACCTGTGACGCGGGGGGGCCCAAAGGTGCCGAGAAAAGCGCGGTAGATCCTTGGCAGGGTTCTGGAATGGGGTTCCCCTTTTGGTTGTATCATAGAAGTGTCATTTGCCACAGGTTTGCGGGAAAGTGACAGCTGCGGGAAATCAATTTCGCGCGTTGAAACCAAGGATATCATGGGTGGTCATTGGCATTTTTTAGGGGAATCATCATTCCAGGGGTTCTCAGTTGGTGAAGGAGCGCCAATCCGCCCGAAGGGATTATATACTTGGTGTTGGGTTTGTCACTCCGGGGGTTGATTGCGACTCAATTTCTCAATGCTTTCCTTTTGAGTTCCCAAGCTTCCAACGTGCTGTTAGGTGTCTTCATCATTTAAGTCCGGGAAGTCCCCATTCCGCCGGCCGGACCGGCAGTTTTTGAACTTTGGCGTTTGAAAGAGGGAAGCCACCAGGAGCTCCGGATGGTATTTTGACTTGATCCTCCAGTACTGCCCTTTTACCTTTTTTTTGGGGGAGGATTCCCCTACTAAGATAGACTACAGAAATATATCGGGTACCCTTATTCTAACCTCTCTACTGGAGGACCTAGTTGAGGTTATTTGTAACAGCCATGGGCTGTCCAGGTTGTTTTTTTTCAGTGCCCTGTTGAATGCGTGACGGCAAACCAAAAACAAACAGTTGGGCCCCCGAAAGTGGGCACGTGTTCACGGTTCGCGAGCCGACATTCAGAGGAACCTCGTCCCCCCTCCGTGTCCCCACAGCATTTTCCGAAACAAAACCCCCAGGGAACTGAAAGAGGGAAGTTAAGAGAGCAGTTCAAAAGCCATTTCAAGTCTCCTTTGACATCGGGAGATCTGATTTCCACATCTCTTGTGACTTGTCGAAAGCGCTCCTGGGGATGTGGACAGTTCGAAGCAAGACCCCCTACAAAGGCGCTCTTACTGCTGGCTTGGAGGAAACTGGCGGGGAGAGAAATTAAGAGACGAGGGTTGTGGTCTTATCTTCACTGTTCCTCACCTGCACTGCTTTAAGTGTGTGTGTGTGTGTTTGGCATTGCTCCATGTTAGGGGGCTGCAACCTGGAAAAGAGCAAAGGAAATCGTGCTACCGCATGCTTCGATGCTTTGGACAAGTCTGTGGTCTCCGCTGAACAAACCCAACCCGCCCTGGGTCAGACCTGCAAACCACTAGGCTGAAGAAACCAACCTGTGGGTTTCTGTGGGCCCGTGGTCATCCGCTGTGGGCCTTGCGGTTTGAAGCGATGGACTCCTGTTTGTTTCTTTGCAAAATGGGCAGGCCGTTCCCCCAGTAGTTCAGCGGCACCATCAAAACTTACCTTTTGTTTGATGGGAAACCACATCAAACAGGCTTCCCTGTTTGTACGAGGGTCACTGGAGAACGCTGCAGCTGGTGAATTGAGAGTGGTCCTGGGTGCACTGTCTAGAAAGTGTCCTTGGCGACACCTTGGGGCTTCTCCGTGCTGTGCTTCAGAGTGGAGCTAGCCAAATAGAAAAGTTGAACATCCATATCTTTTCTCGGAGCACTTTCCAGCGACTCCTTGGACAGCACTTGGGGCTGGAAGAAGGCAGTGGATGGGTCAAATGTTCAGCCACACGCTCCCTCGTAAAAAAATAGGGGGTTTCGCTCCCTCAAGAGCAAGACAAGCGCACGCATGGTTTTATGGTTGTTAGGAGCCCCTGACAAGGATGATAGTGAAACTAGATACGAAGGTCTATTAGGAGTCCTTGGCACCCTTGCTTGGCTCTTAACATGGGGTTCTTGGAATTGTGGGGGCGCTTAACTGCAGGTGGTGCTTCGACATCAGCACGTGTCCAAAGTGCAGGGGCCCCAGCGGGTCAGCGTCAGCCCAGCCGATTGAATATGAACGGGCCCAGCCTTTGTTTCAGAGTACGCCCCCCCCTTTGGTGCAGATAGTCTTGCCTCCTTTGCAGTCTTGAGGCTTGGTGGATCCTGTTGCTGTGGTCACCGGGCCAGGGCAGAGTTACATTCCGACTCCGGCAAGAGGTGCTCATCTAAACTTCGGGGGGCTTGGGGGGGGGGCCGATTCTGGTGGCAAAAGCGCAGAGAGCAGCACCCCCAAACTGCAGGCCCATGCTTGCAGCTGGTTCTACAGCTTGGCTCAAGAAGGATGATAGTAGGCCTGCACAAACCTCCACAACCAGTTTAGTTGAACCAAACGTCAATTGGCGTTGGTCGCTGCTCAATTTAGACTGGATTTCGCCAATCCACGCAGAGAGCGACTCTGTGTAATGACCTTTCTTGCTTGTCCAAGGCCAAACGCACTTTAGCTTTCATGTTGCTATTTGTGGTACTTACTGCTGGCTGCGACACAAATCAAGTTCTCAGTCAAAAAGTCTGCGTACCTGGAAGGCGGTGTGCTGGAGCGCAAACCTGGACCCAAAGGAGCCGTTTTTGCTGCAATCGCTGATTCTCAGTTGGTGTGTGTGTGTGTGTTTTGGGAATGAACCTTGGGGTCCTTTTTGGAGCTGATGGCTTAGTTGGATGCACTGGCAGAGGCCCCTATATTTCACTTCGGTTGGTTTAAACATGTTTAAACATCACCTTTAACGTGTATGGGGTTTCGCAGGGTCCCTCAAGGCACGCATTTCGGCCAGTTGAACAAATATGTTTACCAGCTTCGGAGGACCCCTAGGAAGAGTCCAGGTGGTTTCTACCGGAGCCCTTAACCCTCCAAAACTTTTTGAGCATATCATGAATCCACATACTTCCACTACCCCCAACCCACGACCCCCAAAGGGAAAGCTGAATTTTCAGTTATACAACCGCTATATATTTCAAGCTTACACCATGTTCTCTTGAGAGCTGGTCATTTGGGGGTAGTGTCCGTCACCATCTGAATCGGGGGGGCAGCGGCTCCGCTGAGGCACGCAACCTTCGTCCTGCAGAAGTCCCCAGAGGCCCGATCTGAACCCGACGGAAAAGTCGCCCGGATCCAGTTGCCTGGAAGAAGGGAGGTATACCAAGAAAGCTATTGAGATGTAAGACGAGGGAAAGCCCACTGGAGGTTCTGCACCTGGACGTCAAATGCTTACTTGGTGGCTCCCAGCCATCCGGCTCCTTCGCCTTTCAGCTTTTTAGTGTTTAGTGGCGGTTTCCATTGAACCCACGAAAAGTTAAACTTTTAGCGGGGGATTTGAGGACAGCCCAGTTAAGAACCAAAAGAAACATGGCAAAGGGTTACCTATAAGGATTGCCCACTCTAGCGAAGTATGCCACCCAAATCCAACAGCAAAAGGGAGAAGGGGTACCTAGTATAAGGAAAACTGGGATCCACTGGGTAAGTTAGTTGGAGGGTTCCGCAAGGGGTTCCCAAAGGTCCAACTGGGTTCCATTGTCATGGAAACCAGCCACAGAATGAATGCGGAAATTCAGCCAAGCACTGACCCAAAACAAGGCTCGCACTCGCTGGGATCGGGAGTTCTTCATTGCCAGACTTAACTATCCTGTTTGGCATTTTCCCTTTTGGATTTTACATGTTCCAGGGTTTTCCTCCATTTCCCTTTTTGGAGCCTCTAAAAGTGGCAGGTTCAATCACCAACAAATTGATCAACTTTTGGTGGGAAAATCCTGTGGCTCCTGTGTTCCTGTTCGGCCCGCATTTTTTTGGTTCACCCCGAGTCTGGCCAAAAATCCAGGGGTCTCCGAAAGCGGTTTCAGGGCGTGGGCCACATGCTGCTGATGCAAGACGGCTCCTCCAACGGGACCTGGATCAATGGGGCGAAAATGACGCCCTGCCCCAAGTCGCGGTTTCCCGCGCGGGTGGGCGACGAAGGGGGGTGGGGGGAAGAGCGGAGACATGGAGGACCGTTTGGGGGCCCAGTTTTTTCTTCTCCTCTTTTCGGATGCGGGGACACCCTCAAAAGCTTGGAAACACTTGAGGGCAACAAGGGGAAACCCAAGGGGGTTCCTTTCATGGCCAGGCTTAGCTTGCCTCTTTTTTAACTTTTGGTCCTTTTAAGGGGTCTCCTTCATTTTCCCTCGCAGGCTCATGAGTCTGGCCGAGTAGAAGAAGATGGATTCAGTCTGGAATGTTGGTCCGAGAGAAATGATATGACAATGATGACAATGGAGTTCCATGGTTGGAACCCTCAAAATGGTTGGCGGACATAGCTCCCCAAACGGATGTCCACTAAATGACTCCAAGAAAATCGGCTCATGCCCAGATTGCTAGAATAATGAACGCTAATATCAACACAGGGTAGATGAAGGGACTGCCGCAAGCAGAAATAGGTGCGGCGAAAGCCGCTTGTTTGATGATTTGCTGGGGGTTTTCGGGTAGATCCTTTCGGTGGTCCACTTGGCAAAAGATCTGCCACGCATGCAAGGGAAGAGTCGTGGGTCCTGCGCTCAAAGAAACAAAACTCGACCCTGGAGTTCGTGTTTGGCCAGGTTCGAGCAATGTCACGCTTCGGGGATGAAAGTGCCCTATGAAGGTTTCTTTATTTCGGTTGGTGAAGTGTAACCCCTTTTTGAACGCCATTTCTTCATGTCGTCTTTCAAGCTGAGGAGCTGGGAGCACGTAGCTTATGAGTGGTTGACAGGTATTGCAAAATCCGTTCATGGGCCGGAGGAAGGGTCGTAAAAAGCCCTGTATGGTTAGACCTTTATTTGGGTTGCATTTGAATTGCGAGCTTCCTTTTGCTTGATGTTCAACGGTGACAAAGTGGTCCTGTGTACACAAAAAGACTGGGATCTCTCAAATGAAATTTGACGCTTTGGGCCAGACTCGAAGCATGTCCTTTGAGGTGGATGTTGTTTGGACGTCCCCACGGAAGTTAAGCAGCCCAAGTCGGGCCAAAATGGACCTAAACGCGCCAATCGAGCGGATCGCTTGTCGCACGCGGTTGCGACCATCGGACACAAGGCGGATGCAGTGAAAAAGTGCTGAGGAGCTACGAGCCTTGGAGCACGTCTGGAGTGAGACAATCCAAGTGATGCAGACTCGGTTCCGCGTCAGCGTCTCTGAGAGGAAACAGGCCTCCCATGATTAACACGCGTTGGGCAACAGCAACGCCGGTGGCACTACTAACTGAGTCTGTCTTTTCTCAAGGGACCCCCCCCCAACAAAAAGCAAATGGTTTCCCTTGGTGTCCCTTGAAACTAACCCCAAAAAACGGTACCCTCAAACAAGACAACCCAATAAATTCTCGCGAGCCTCGATCAGCACTGTTCCTGGTCATATTCGCGGAGCAGAGGGTGACACTGCCAGCTGCCGAAGGTGCCATGAGGGCATTTGGTTGCTTCCACTTGCTTAAGTGTGTTTTTCCTCTGTTGGTTTTTAAAGGGAATTTGTCACTACTGGAAAAATGTCTATAGTTTTTGTCCAGGGGGCGGAAGAGAAAATGGAAGTTTGTTGGTGATTCTAAAGGGAAACCAAAAGGAAAAGGAACGCCAGCATGTTCAGGGGTTCCCTAAAAATGACACGCCCCTTTGGCTGCGGATTCGGAAGCATACCGTAATACCAAACCAACCAACGCACCAGGGGCAAGCACAGGTGGATTCAGAAAGCGAACCCAAGTGTCGGAATTTCGTCAATCTCCAGACACCCTGTGGGTTGCTTTCCTTCTCATTTTGTTTTGGAGGGGGTTCCCTTTCAAACCAACGACCAAAAGAGCGTGCCGGCCCCATTTCCATGGAGTTGCTTCGCTTGCCCAAGGCCAGGCAGATTCCAACAGCTGGATGCGGGCGACAGGCGCTCGCGACGTTGGTCCATGGTTAGTCACGGTTCCTAAAAGTTCTAAAGGTTCTAGGTTGTTTGAGCAGTTGAGCGTTGGGCCTTTTGCCTTCCCCTGATTTGATTCATTTTTCTGTCAGGGTTCCAAGATTCCAAAAGGCTGACCTTTGATTTCCGGGTCCTTTGGGCAACTGAGTTAACCATTGCCAGGCTTAGCTTCTTCCCGATGTGAGGGGTTTTGAACAATTCCCACTCATGCGGCATGCGGATAACCTCCCGCAGTTCATCAATCAGACTTGCCAACCGAATCGACCGGATCTGACTGTTTGGTTTTCGCATGATCTATGTTCAGTCAAGGTCTCAAAAGGTTAGTCGTTTCTTTTGGGCAAATGACTTTGTGATAGTCGGACTTGGGATAGCTTTTTTGCTTCTCAAAGTGATAGGGACGATCCTTATTAAGGGTCAGAAGGGTGACTTTCCACAGCCATGTGCTTCCTGTGTTCAACTTTTTAGCTTACACCCCAAAAAGGGAGACAAAGGTCGTTCCGGAAATATCAGTTGTAGCCCAGGGGTTTTGTGGTGTTCCATAGTTTTGTGGTTGGTAGGTATGACTTCAAATGGTGCACTTTCGCCTTTTTGGTTTCCCATCATTTTCTATTGGCAAGACGCTTTTATGTTTTGGCGGGTATCCCTGCCGATGGCGTGCTAGTTGGTTGGACATTTGACCATCACTTCCACTTGCTTGATGGGGGCTTCAAGGAAATTCCCGGGATGCTGATTGTCAGGGAAAAACAATAATTGATAAGTACACACTATTACATACGAGTGGCAGTGCCAACAAGCAAGGTGATGGTTGAAGGGTAAATGTAGGGAGTTCCCCACTTTCCCGGTCTTTGAGGATGCTTGGCGGACTTGTGTTCATAGGACGATTCACGGGTATTCCCGCACCCGAATTGCACATGCATGTAGTCAAGGTCGGCACCCCTCTCTGAAGCCTTGCGGAGATCCATACATGGGGCTTGCAAGTACTGTTCCAGTGCCTATCTCGGGGGGTACGCTTCTTTCTTCCTTGCAACAAGGCTCAAAAACCATCGTTTGGTCCCTCAAACTGCGACCGCCAAAAACTCAGCACGCAGATGTGCCCCCCTTTCTTTTTCTTTGGGATAAACTGATGGCTTTGGGGTAAACCCATGGCTTTAAGGAACTCCATGTGCCCCCTCTTCCCCTCCCCCGCCCCTTTTCGGTTTTCGGCCTGCCAGGATCTCCTTCTTGGCGCCCACGGAGAGCCTGGAAGAAGATCCTGCCACCTGGGAGGCGGAAGAAGCTTTTGCTCGGACCGCTTTGGGGTCTGGAAGGGGAGGTGGGGGGTGGGGGGTGGGGGGTGTAAGGGGGTTGGGGGGGTCAAGCGGTATCCCTGGAACCCTGTAAAATCCACCCTGAAAGCTGCCCCACACCACCCCAGAGCCTATCTGGGATGAGACCAAATCCATAGCTTGCAATTGGGGAAAAGTAGAGAGGGGGAAGCCCCTGCAAGATTTTGGAGGAGCAAACGTTCCCGAAAAAGATGACCAAACCAAACCACGCAGGTAGAAGAGTAGTCAACCCACACGCCCAGTGGTGCCCATGTTTTTGTTGTTTG